CAAGCCTTTCAAAGATAACCACAAAGCAACATAGCCAAGTCCTCAATCTATATAGTAAAATAAAGAACAAACAATACCAACAAAAGGCACGACATCACCCTTCATGATTTCACTCTTATTCTCACAAGCACAATATAATAGCAAGCACGGAAACACTCTTCGCGCATATTCTCTCTTCCTCTCAAGCACGGAAACATCGTTCGTGCAATAATTTTGATGCATGAAGAAAGCACGACAACATCCTTCGTGCACAATCACCCTTCCTCACAAGCATGAAATCACCCTCGTACAATTCACTCTTCCTTATCAAGCATAAACATATAAAGCAGTACCGAATAAGGTAAGAAGCACAAACAATATCAAGAAGAGTAATTGAACATAACTCACCATATAAGAATTTGCCATCACTTTTGTACCAATAGACAAATTAATATTTGATTAATCATAATACGCAATATCTCAACAAGATAAATATCGCTATTATCAAGAATAAGAACAGTCAAAGAGTTTCATAATTTATTTAGAGCATGGAAGACATAATACATAAAGCAACATGCATGGCATAAATAAAGCTAGTTCTACCTTCATGCTTAACCCATGGCAAATGCATATACACTCGTTACCTTGCATATACGCCACTCCGAACACATAGAGCACATAGGATTTAGACACAATTATATCCTAATTCTCTCAAATCAACGTTACCAAGATACTTACCTCCCTCTAGAAAATTCAATAATCCAACATCGCTTTGTCTTTAGAGCAAACCTGCAAACCACCCAAATCTAGCCAATTAATATTCAAATAAGTTAAAACAAGATTTAGGAACTATCCTAGTATAAAAATTATTTGATCTTTAGGAGAAGTCAACAAAAATTCAACTTGGACCTATGTGGTCGAATCCAAAATTAGGGCCAACACATTCTCCCCCGAGTCCAAATATGTGATTTGTTTCAAGATCCGACCTCAAATTGAGGTCTAAATCTCTAAAATATAAAATCTTAAATTTTTACTAAAAAAACCTTATTTCTACTCTATGAAATCTTATTTTTATGCATGAAATTCAATGAAAAAGTATCTCAGCGCATCCAATTGCGATAGTCGCAAATACGACAAAAGTTTCAAATGCGAGGACTGGAATTCTCGCAAATGCGAACAAAGCTTCGGAAATGCGAAGCTGCCCCAACTCCCCTGATGTAAATGATGAATCTATGTTAAATTTTATTAATTGTGGCAAAGATCATGTTTAAGAGCTCAAGTCCAAACATATGGTCTTATTTTCAAGAAGTGCAAGAAGTCCAAGAAGCTCAAGATTGATTTCAAGAAGCCAAGATTCTTTCTTTCTTAAAATAGGATTTATTTTATTCCTTTTAGAATAAGGATTTTCCTTTTAGTAGGATTCTTGTTTCTTTTCCTTGTAGAATAGGGATTTTACTTTCCTTGTCTTTAATTATTTTATTTCCTTATTAGAATAGGAATTGTAGTCATCAAAGAAGAGACTCTAGGCCTATATAAAGGGTTCTCTTGCATTTAGAATGCAATTCACGTTTTTAAGGTTTGCCTAATTTTAAAATAGAGTGTTTTTCTCTCTTTTGTCATCTTTATCCTTGTTTTTGGTTCCAAGCAAGTTGGTGATAGTCTTTATCTTGTGTTCAATTGTGTGTGGTGTTTCTTTATCACGTTAATTGATTCCAAGTGATGACTTTAGGAACTTATTTAGTTCTTGATCTTTCAAGAACACGTTTCTTGATCTAAATTCGTTCTTTTGATATCATAAAATCATAACTATTATTGAACTGGTGGAGCATCGTTATTTACTTGTTTTGAACGAGTAAATAGTCTTTCTTATAGTTCAGATCGTCATCTTTCACCTCGTTTTTGAATCATCATATTCTAAGTCCTAAAACTTCAGATACATTGTTTCTTGAAATCAGCCCACAAACTATATTTTCGTTTCAAGATCTTGATCCTGGTCGGTTGGTTCTTTGTTAACTCGAAGAATCACATCATCCCTCCAGCATAGCGAATTCGAGCAAGCATGCACAAATGTGAGGCTTGCATTTGCAAACAGATTATTGCTATTGCGACGTCTGCAACACCATAAAACTGAAACCTCTTCCAAAATAGTCTAAAACTTATCCGAAACTCACCTGAACCCCTCGGGCCCCAATTCAAACATCCACACAAGTGCAATAACATCCTACAAACTCGCTCGTAAGCTCAAATTATCAAAATAACTTCTAAAATCAAGAATTAAGCATCAATACTTAATAATTTCAAAGTTCATGTCATGCCCCCGACCTCGGGAAGCGCGACCGGTGCTCAACCGAGATAACCCTAGATTGCCTTCTACCCAACTCACCCATAAATAAAGAGGAGATAAACTTCATTAATTAGCACCAAGAGGATTCATGAACAACACTAATTCCATCACCATTAGTTACCTCATTTTTTTAAGTCTCAAAATATATACACTTTCATAGTTTGAAGTGAAACAAGTGATTCAAATACAACAAGACTAGTTTGACTTTCCCAACACCCCTATACAATCCACACTGTGTGTACAGAGCCTCTAATCGATATAAGAGAATACTATGATAATGCCGGCAACAAGGCCCCGACTATACCTTAAAACATAATACACGTGGGACAAAAGATACATGATCCCGAATGAAGTGGGGCTCACCAAATCTGCTGGGAAGAGGGTATGCTGCTATCAATGATCAATGCCACCTACTGCGGACCACCTGCATCAATTAAAGATGTAGCGCCCCCGGCAAAGAGGGACGTTAGTACATATCAAATAGTACTAGTATGAAACCAAAACACCTATTCAAGGACTTGGAAATACAACATGAATATGATGAATCATGGTAACAATAAAAGGGCTTAGATAGACGTTAAAGTCAAACAAATTTATTAAGAACTTTCAATAACATTTATAAATTTCAAGTCGGGGATCCCCTATAACGACCTTTACACAAAGTGGCCCTGCCGCCTCACCCCAATGTATGCGAATGGAGGTGTAATCATAATACCATAAACTCTACACAAAGCGGCCATGCCGCCTCACCCCAATGTATGCAGGTGGAGGTATTATCGCAATACCACAACTCTACACAAAGCGGTCCTGCCGCCTCACCCCAATGTATGCGGGTAGAGGTGTAATCACAATACCACAACTCTATACAAAGCGGCCCCGCTGTCTCACCCTAATATGTGCGGGTGGAGGTGCACTTGCAATACCCATCTCCACACAAAGTGGCCCCGCCGCCTCACCCCAATATGTGTGGGTGGAGGTGTATTCACAATGCCACACTTTGGATTCCCAAAACGATAATAGTTTGTACAAAGAATTCTCTTCCAATCAACCATTTGGCACCTTTGGCCTTAGCAAGTGTAAGTTTATACGGTTTCATCATATGAGAAATAAGTGTTTATTGACTTCATACAAGATTTTCTTCCCAAAGGGGTATAGAATAATTCAGTCAAAAATAGAGAATCATTAATACATGAGGGTCCTAACACATTATGCAAATCGGGAATCAATTTTACCAGTCTGAATATCCCACATCAATAGCGTTCCATGTTTGAACTTCGCACGATGGAGTTTTGTAAGAATACGGGAATTCCAATACCAGAAAAAGAGTTAGCCTTCATACCTCGAAAGAGATTTCCGTAGTGCCACAATAATGTCCCAACACTCATAACGATGCTAATCTACAGAGGAGGAGAGAATTACAAGCACGATTAGAGGAATTCGCATGGCAAGGGTTGTTACAAGTATAACCCGACTTTTCCCTCAACTAATTCAACAACAAAATCACTCAAGATTGTTCAACAACTTCCCCACAATCATTATTAGCTCATGCATGTGATAAATCTACTATCACCACCCATAATCAATCCAAATCCGAAATTGAAAAGTTGGGGGAAGAAATTCTTACCTCTTTGAAGCCCTAGCAAGTTCCTTTTGATGAAATTCCAAGGTTTGATCAAAGTAGAGTAGTGAAATCCTTAATCCTCCCTTTCCTCTCTATAGAATAGCTCTCACCTCTCTCTAAAAATATCAGATGAACCCTTAAAAATGACCCCCAAATCCTTTTTCTAAAAATGGGATCGGGTAAAATTTCCAAAACAAACTTGCCGAAACCGGGTCTGTGGTTGCAGACCGGACCACAAAACAGGTATGCTACCCACAAAGGGGACCGCAGAAAAGGGTCCCAAAACTAGGCTATTCGGGTTGGGTTTGCGGCAGGTCTGCGGTCCGCAGACTAGTTCTGGAATCGCATAAAAGCGCTGCAGAACTCCTCTCCGAAAATTTTCATGTTGGATCTGCGATGGATGTGCGGCCCGTAAAACGATTATGCGGTCACGTAATTGACCGCATTATCATTAAAAATTTGCCCAGTTCTCTGCTTCACTCTACGACAGATCTGGGGTCCGCAGATCAGTTCTGCGATCGTAGAATAGATCGCAGAAAATGTCCTACTCTGCCAATATTTTATTCAACTCCCAACGCACTGTTCAATCCAAAAAGTCTGTACCATCTCTACAATCATCAACACATAAGTCTATCCTGGCATCACGAAACCCTGAGTTTTAGGTGAAATTTTACGGGCCTTAAATCCTCCCCCGCTTAAGATCATTCGTCCTCGAATGAGGGCCAAAATCCGTCATTAGAAACCAATGTAACTCAGCTGCTATTTCACACACCAACAGTTCTAAATTTTTGACTAACTCCCTGAATTTTCAAAAATTTTGCCAGAGTTTCCCCTGTAACTAGGTCTATCCACCTGTCAGAGAATCCCAGAAACCAACCCTAACAACATATACATGAACCAACAACGCAACATAATGTAAAAGTAACGCCAAATGTGGCCTCGTGAGCAGTATATTACCAAAAAGGAACACCCTTATCATAATTGTACAAGTGAAACAAAATTCATACAAGGCAAACTCTTAGCATTTTCATAGAACACAACTTTATAAATATATGGCTATTCAAACAAATGAGGGTATTTCTTCTTCATTTCCTCCTCGGCCTCCCAGGTGGCCTCTTCAACTTGTTGGTTCCGCCATAGTACTTTCATGGAGGTAATTTCTTTATTTCTCAGCTTACGGACTTGCCTATCAAGAATGGCAACTGGAATTTCCTCATACGTCAATTCCTCGTTAACCTCAACAGTCTCAACTGGAACAATAAGTGAGGGATCTCCAACCACCGTCTTCAACATGGATACGTGAAACACTGGGTGCACTAAAGACATCGCTGGAGGTAGTTCAAGCTTGTGCGCAACCCGACCAATCCTCTGAATTATTCTGTATGGTCTGCATACCTCGGACTCAACCTTCCTTTCTTACCAAACCGCATTATACCCTTCATGGGGGAAACCTTCAAGAATACCCAAGCATCCTCTTTAAACTCCAAATCCCTATGACGCACATCCAAATAGGAATTTTGATGACTTTGAGCAGTTTCCAACCGATCCTTAATGGTCTTAACCTTCTCCATAGCCTGATGCACGAGGCCTGGTCCTATCAATTCTGCTTCCCCAATCTCGAACCACCCAATGGGAGATCTACATCTCCTACCATATAAAGCCCTGAACGCTGCCACTGAATACTAGAATGATAATTGTTGTTGTAGGCAAATTCTACGAGTGGCAAATGTTCGTCCCAACTACCCTTGAAGCCAAGAACACAAGTGTGCAACATATCCTCAAGCGTCTGAATAGTCCGTTTTGCCTGCCCGTCCGTTTGCAGGTGAAGGGTTGTACTAAGATTCACCTGAGTACCCAAACCTTGCTGAAATTTCTTCCAAAAATTAGCCATGAACTGTGCCCCTCGATTTGAGTTAATAGAAACTGGAGTGCCATGTTACTTGACTATTTCCTTGATATACAATTGAGCATACTGTCCTACGATGTTGGTATCCTTAACAGGTAAGAAATGTGCTGGTTTTGTGAGTCGGTCCACAATCACCCAAATCATTTCAAAGTTGCGAGGCGTGCGAGGCAGTCCCACCACAAAGTCCATATTGAACACCTCCCATTTCCACATCGGAATTTCTATGTTCTGTACCAACCCATCGGGCCTTTGATGTTCGGCCTTTACTTGCTGACAATTTGAACACCTCGCCACAAAGTCTGCTACATTCCTCTTCATATCATTACACCAGTAGACTTCCTTAAGATCATGATACATCTTTGTAGAGCTCGGGTGCACAGAATACCTAGAAGTGTGAGCCTCGGTCATGATTCTTTCCCGGGGACCATCCACATTTGGAACACATAGTCGCCCTTGGTACCTTAGTGTACCATCATCCATGCCAAGAGAAAAGGCCATGGTCTTATGTTTATGAATCCCCTCCTTTAACCGTACCAACATTGGATCGTCGTACTGCTTCTCCTTGACTTCCAGAACCAGCAAGGATTCAGCCCTATTTTGCACAATCACCCCTCCTTCCCTAGAGTCCGCAAGACGAACTCCCAAACTAGCTAACCGATGAACCTCCTTGGCCAACGGCCTTTGATATGCCTCGTGAGCCAAACTGCCCATCAATTTTCGGCTAAGATCATCGGCCACAACATTAGCCTTCCCCAGATGATATAGAATATCGATGTCGTAATCCTTGAGTAACTCAGGCTATCTTCTCTACCTTAGATTCAAGTCCTTTTGTTTGAAATATATTGAAGGCTCTTATGGTCCATGAATATATCCACATGGACCTCATACAAATAATGACGCCAAATTTTCAATGCAAAAAACACTGCCGCAAGTTCTAAGTCATGTGTTGGATAGTTCTTTTCATGATTCTTGAGATGCATCACCTTGTCATTTTGTATCAATACACACCCAAGTCCGATCCTTGAGGCATCACAATATACTACAAACCCATTTGTACCCTCTGGCAGGGTCAACACCGGCGCCGTAGTCAATCTCGATTTCAACTCTTGGAAGCTCCTCTTACACCCCGTAGTATTGTACGTTGGATTTATCATAAGATAATTGACATCAGTTCAAGGACAAGATTATTTTGAGGTTATAAGTATTATGTTATTTATAACAAGTGATAAGTAAAACTGTGAAGGTCAGAGGGTAAACAAGTTGAAGAAAATGAGTTTCGTCGAAGTTTGACATTTTGAGGTAAAATACGGTCCAAGCTATAATACCCCGTATTTATGGACTAGTGCCATACAAGGTACCACATGACCATGATAGTAAGGTATATAAAGTGTGTTAAAAATGATCAGTATTTTAAGTAATTTGAGATAATTCTTAATTATGTGGATAATTAGGTAATTATTGATTTTTAGTGGGAGATTAACTAATTAATTAGCATCTTTGGATAAGCCTAATGGACCTCAACGTGGCAGCCAAGGGATTAAGTAATAAGTGACTCTTAATTCATGTACTAGGTGGCATGTTTAGGAAAATTGTGGGCTAAGTCATCACCTAAAAATGGGGCCCACTCACTATGACAAAAAAATAACCTCCCTCATCATTAAAGGGGAATGGAAATGCTTGCTAGAGTTACGAATAGGAATTCTCCAAAAAAAATTCATATGAACCCTTACAATGCTATAACAGCATGAATTGCAAATTCTAAGAAGTCCCGTATAACCTTTATCAAGAATATCATACGAATTTTTCCTACTTCGATCCGGCATTACGTATTTTTTGCAAAAGATGTGGGTTAGAGGGATTGTTAAGAGAATCGACTGCGGTATGTTAAGGCTACTGTTCTTTCCTTTTGGCATGATCCATACGATACAAATGAAACGAGCAAATGCACAACTTTAATAAATGACTCTATTCATAGAAGTACTAGAGATGCCTATGTTCTTGATTCCCCATGTGTCCTGTTATTCTATCATATGTTCATGGGTCTCAGAAAATACGTAAATTTATAAAGTTTATTTCATGACATTAATCAAAGGCGTAATGATCTTATGACATACCGACAAATCTTATTAACTCACTTCTTATGCGCATTCAGTTATACATGCATATTGACCCATGACTAGGTGGCGTTATATACGCGTATATATATGTGTATATATGTATATATATGTATATGGGGTATGAGGAAAGGTTATAGCGTTATATACGCACCACCACTTGATCAGCTGGTATATGTTGATGATTTTGCCCACAGTGGCCGAGATGGTATGATGGGAGGCTTAATGATGTTACGTACGCATATACCTATGCTTCATATGAAATTTATATGCATATGCATGACACTATAAATATTAAATGATTCACATAGTTATTCAGACTTACATGTTGAGTCTTTTAATCCATGTTTCTCTTATGTCTTTTAGTTACTGATTTTCATTCCTTACATACTCGGTGAATTATTTGTACTGACGTCTTTTGCCTGTGGACACTGCGTTTCATGCCCGCAGGTCCTGATAGACAGGTAAGGAGTCCTCTGAGTTGGCTATCAGCTCAGTGGAAGGTGTTGGTGCGCTCCATTTGCTCCGAAGTTGCTTATTTGGTTAGTATGATTTGGACATGTATTGATTGGTATGGCGGGACCCTGTCCCGACCATTATTTTACTTATCTACTCTTAGAGGCTTGTAAACATATATCTGTCACGACCCGGATTTTCCACCCTCGGGAGTCGTGATGGCGCCTACTAGTGAAAGCTAGGCAAGCCGACCATTTGAACAAATTACCTTTTTCCCATTTTAATTCTTTAACAATTGTGAATCAACAGTTTATAAACAGCGAAAATTTAAAACAAGCGGAAGAAACAATTAAGCCATCTAAATAACTCCAAGATGATTTCTTAAACAAAAACTACCCAAGATTGGTGTCACAACTCCATAGACGGTCTAAGAATTCTACAAACAAGGTCCGAAAAATAAATGCAACATTGTTTCTGAATTACAAAAGTGAAACAGGAAGAAAAGATAGAGGGAGACGCCAGGGCCTGCGGACGCCTGCAGGACTACCTTGGATCTCCGTATGGACTGAAGGCAGCCGCCCAAGCTAAGGTCCAAAAGCTGCTGCTCCGGGATCTGCACACAGTGCAGAGTGTAGTATCAGCTCAACCGACCCCATGTGCTGGTAAGTGCCTAGCCTAACCTCGGCGAAGTAGTGACGAGGCTAGGACCAGACTACCAAATAAACCTGTGCAATTATCTCATATACCGTGGAAAAATAAAGCAGAAATGTCCAGTTAAGAATGGGAGGGGAAACATGATGCGGGACAATAACTCAGGAGAAAAGCATAAAGAACGATTTAAAATTCGCAGCAGAAAGAATAATGAAACCGTAGCAAAACAATAACCACTTTTACCCTTTAATGTTGCGGCGCGCAACCCAATCCAAATCATATATATAAACACTGTTGCGTCGTGCAACCCGATCCAAATATAATATTTCTTGCGGCGTACAACCCGATCCCAATATAGTATTGTTGCGGCGTGCAACCCGATCCAAACATAGTATTGTTGCAGCGTGCAACCCGATCCAAATATAATATTGTTACGGCGTGCAACCCGATCCAAATGTAGTATTGTTGCGGCGTGCAACCCGATCCAAATATATTATTCAACACCAGTCACAAAAGTGTCCCAGCAAGGGAACAATAAGGAGACAACAATCTCCCGGCAAGGGAGTCGACAGTAAGAAGTAAATACATCCCGGCAAGGGAATCAGCTATAACCAAACTTGTGTCAACATTTAACTTCACAACAGAAACCTCGTCTAGAACCAATATTCAACCATAAGCGATTTTCACGAGATTAATCATAACCCTTGTCCGACACATAGAATCAACAACTTAAGCATTTGTAGTACTTGTTAAGAACACAACAATTTAAATTTAAGACTCACGGGCATGCTTGACACCAACGTATAGATACTCGTCACCATGCCTACGTACTCAACAAATAACACATAGCAAATAGGACTCGACTCCTAATCCCTCAAGCTAAGGTTAGACCAAACACTTACCTCGAACTTCCACGGCCAACTCAAGCCTCAAACACCGCTTTTCCTTTAGAATTCGCCTCCAAATAACTCGTATCTAGTCCAAATTGATTTCACAACATCAATAAATGCTAGAGAATTCATACCCAATGCTTAATTATAAGTTTTCTATCATTTTCCCCAAAAAGTCAAATATTGACCCCGGGCCCGCTTGGTCAAAACTCGAGGTTCAGACCAAAATCCGATCACCCATTCTCCCACGAGCCCAAATATGCAATTAGTTTCGAAATCCGACCCCAAAACGAGGTCTAAATCCCCAATTAATCAAAAGCCCTAACTCTACCCAAATTCCTAATTTCTACCATAAAAACCCTAGATTTTAAGATGAAAATTGATGAAATGCAATGGGAAATCGAAAGAGAAAGGTTTAGAATCATATACCAATGTTTTGGGGAAGAAATTGTTCTTTGAAAATTGCCTTAATGCTCCCAAATTTTGAAAATATGAAGTAAATGGGTTCTGCCCATTTTTGCTTTTGTTTTAAAATCACTGGGCAGGCCTTCATC